CTCCTTCTCAAATTCACCAATCAGCATTTAAAATTTTTATGCCGTTGAACTGATGAGAATCTCGACTTTCAAGAATTATACAGCGTGCCCAAGGGAATACAATCCGTCATTCGGATACCATCTAAAGATTTGTCATTCAAAATACCCAGAACAATATATAATGTGCCGGCGGGAATGCATTCTGCTTCTCACAATCCGATATCCTTAATTTTCTGAAGGGACGTAATTCAAATATAAGCCAAAGCATCGGTCCATCGCAACATTGCACGCACCCCGCCGCTTCTCAGGTTTGCCAGCCAACAATTGCTCAGATTGTGAATTGGATCAATCAGTTGCTCAATTAAACAGATGGATTTGCGTGCAAATTTTATTGTTCCGGCTCGATGACTTCTTCGAGAAGAAATAAAAGGTCATTTCTTAATTATTTCGACTTGCTGAATTGTCGATTCTTTATATTTGGCGTTGATCAAACGCTTGCATTCAATCAGGTGGTTCAAATTCGAATTTTATCAAAAGCAAATGCTGATAATTGTTGTAAGTATTTCATTTAGTCATTTCAAACACAAACATTTTCTTCAATGGCTTTATATTAAGGTTTTTTCATAAGTCATATTGCTATTAGCAGTGGCACCTTTTTTTTGTTTTATCACTGCTGGCTTCTGGTCACTTTGATAGTGTCTTGTGAAATCTGTACTTGATGAAATGAGCTGACTGACCATTCTCCATCTTCATCTAGAGCTGCATTTTAGTCGGTACGCAAACGCTGTCACCCGACAGTTCATTTCGCACGTACTTCTTTCAACTGTGTAAAGTGAGTAAATTACACAGTCCCTTCCCTTCCCGACACTTCAGCTGCGGTGCGAAAATGAGAGTAGTTTAGGTCGCAATTTGTTTTTCTGGTGACTTTGAACCGAATATCCAAAAATCATGTTTACCGCACAATTTTGTTTTGAAATTGAATCACCGAGGAGCAGTCGAAGTAATTTTGTTTGCATAATAATGTTGCCATGTTCGTGGTACGATATTTTTGGTGGCGTGATTTAATTAGGATTCTCAATCACCTGATCGCTAATCACATAAGCTTTGGGAACGATGTTTGCCGCGAATGTTTTGCATTGATGTTTTGGTGTGAGCTCAAAATCACGATCGAATTCGAGAATGCAATTCGTTGTGCAATACTACATCACTGAAACGATTCGTACGCTAATCGAATCATCATCAGCCAAACTTTCAACAAATTAGCATTCAAATTTGTCGATTATCAAAATTTCATCACCGAATAATACAATTTTCAACTTTATTTACGCCGCCACCGCATAAGATACAAATTCCACAAATTCAATCACACAAGTTGATGTTTGGATCGGATGATCAAATGATCTAATGGGCATCAAATGGTAACAGTTCATTTGCAGATACGAAATGCAACTACGATTTGAGAATGAGTGTACGGAAACGGTAACGATCAGATTGATACTATACATCGTGCAGTTTTTATTAGTTTGTGGATGTTGTGCAACAGGTGACATCTTTGAATAGTGAGAATGAATCTGAATGAGAATAAGAAAGCAGCTTGAAATTTTGAAAGTTAATTATTAGTTTTGTGTATAATTACGATCGAATATTTCTCTATTTCGCTATGTCAAGGATGTCTGTGTCGGAGAAAGATGACAAACCAAGCCGAGAAGGACCCGAACAAGACATGTCGAGATCCAATGCCTACTGTGGCCATAACTGCTAGTTACCACTAACATCTTGAAGCTTTTTATAGAATATTTTAAGTTCATTCGCAACGTCACCACCTTCCCGAGGTGTATTTTCACGAAGTTCACGTCAAACTGGCCATACCAACAAAAACACTCAGATTAACATTGTCCATACACCATAAAATTTCCTAGGATGGAAGCTTAGTTCGAAGATTTCCATAGAAAAGTTTACCGATACGATGAGATGAGCCCAAAAATGGTCCACAAATGAAAAAGTTCCGATCATGCTCTCATTTCACATTGAAAACATAAGGTGATGAAACATTCCCTGGTTTTTGGCTGATTTAAGCCATGTTTCTTGTTCACGATGTGAACCATAAACAACAACCTTGGCTGAAAAGACACAAATAAGCAAGTAATACTGATCTTCATGATCTTCAGGTGATTCCAACAGATCCAGATCTGGTCAGTCGAGCCAACTACGACGTTCCAGCGAGTGCAGCCTCTCCAGCATCGACGAACAGAACCAAAAAATGATCACATTTAATTCTGAGTAAATCATAATTTCACTTTCATTTCCCTCCAACTTCGAATGGACAACAGCGACACGTTTTGAGATAGACTCGTGCGTTATGACGTGAAAGTTAAGATGATCGGAACTTGAGAAGAGTTCTCACTCTTTTGCACCAATTAGCAAAAAAAATGTGCCTCACGACCAAGAAACCACCAGCCGAGCTGAAGACTCTTAACATTTGAATCTTCGGTCTCAATATAAACACCTTAGCTCGAACCCTTCCTAATGTTAGATAATTGCTAGCAGTTGAACGTGACTTTCATAAAGCCTTTCTTAAGGATGATTCAACTCGACAATGCATAAGTGAAAATGTCTCAATCAATGTTCATATAACACTATGGTTATTGAAGCAATCAAATTAAAAAATTGTGTTCATCGCATTATTCTTATAAAAACCTCATTATCTTTATGAGCTGTTCACATACAATACAACACAAACCAATTGATACATACATTTCAAATATACATACGACGTAATTTAGCAATATGGAAATGGCTTGAAGAACGCATTTATGCGAAGAATACACTTGATATTTTACAGCATTAGGGTTACTCTTGCACAATCCGAGCGAATTTTTAGATTCATCGAAATACACACTCAGATTAATCAGATTATTCAGTAACAGGTTCAATACAACATTCAGATTTCTTCCGTGCTCTCACCGCAATTATCTCGTGGTGTTTGCTAAGTCAAATACGATAGATCACATTCAAATCGAAATGCAATGTAAGCGAATCTAAGCGTTTTGCTCAAGTGCAATACTCTTGTAAATTTTGGTTCCTTTACGCTGAGAACGAAGCGCTCTCCGAAAAGCGCCACCGTAAATACACGGATTAATCACTGAATTTAACACAACCAATCCGTGCATAATATATACGGTATTCTCGTGTTCCATGTAACTTTCCGGGTCGATAACACCCCATAAAGCAAGCGAATTGTACGGTAACCTGAAATTTAGTTCAAATTCACTCGTTCTCAATTGGCCAATCTCATAATTTCCGGATAATGTGCATGAACTCGTTGATGTTCGTTGAAAATTGAAAACGATGAAGTGCATTGAATCGGATGATATGCCGTATGTTCTTCACAAATGTCCCCTTATATTGCTGCGTCAATGAAAGTGTTCTGGTGGTGTCCGTTCAAAACAGTGAAGCAGATAGATTCGCATTGCAAGCAGAAACAATTTTCTAATTGATTTTAATTTATTATGCAATATATTGAGTGAATGTGCTCAGTGATTTGTAAATAAGACCTATAGAATTTGGAGTTTTCGACCGATTGTGTGCTCATTATCATTGACGAGTTATTCAGAAATCATCGATGAAAATTTGTATAGCGTGAGCGGAGTAAGGTTAATGATGAGTTTTCAACACAGAAACATTTCCATTATAGATGTTCAAGTGTGATTTGATGCTCGATTCGTAAACCAATAAGAATTCAACAGTAAATAATCACTTCAGCTTTGAATGCAACATTCCCCTAAAACCTGCATATTGCTTAATTGATAATGCTTCAATGAGGAATTCCAATTCAATGCGTTCGTTCATTCGAGCATAAGAAATTGATTCTTGACAAGCTATAAAATAGATCTCATTTCCCTAAACGCAATTCCTAATAAACTTTGTATAGCAGGCATTCGTGTGGAAGAGAAATACGTCAGATGAAATATAACATTTCTCCAGCTTAGACTGCACCTACTGTTCTAATCACTAATTGGTGACTCAAGGCATGTGAGACGTGATCGTGCAGTACTAATCAATGATAGCTCTGACCAACAAAGTGTGTAAGCAGTCATCAGAATAAGAGTTGAACGCAGCGCACACCAACGATTTCGCTTCATTATTTGCGTCGATTTCGAGCTTCGTCTCAAACTGAAACGATTCTGGGCTGACGATGACGACTGACGACTGAGCTGCTGAAAATACATGTATAAGTGATGCTAGAGCGCTCACGAAACAAGTTTTATCGCCATTATTCTATGGGAACGACGTTATTTTATGTTGAGCATAACGTGTTGATAACAACCAATTGAAATATCCGCATAAAATATAATGAAAGTGGAAATGAAACGACAGAATCTTGGAGACGGTCACTGACTAGAAGAAACCGAGATAGGAAAGAGGTAGTGTGTTGATTGCATCATACAACTTTGATGATACCTTTACTTTCTGGCATTTATTGTGGCTCAAAAAGTATAGAGTGTAATGAAGTTTAGCCAGCGGGGAACTAATTCATCTGAAAGTGGCCAATGGATTTCATTCAATTTCATTTAAAACGATTATTCATTTAGTATGAATTTGGTGCATGAAAAGGGAAACATCCGCTATGATAGACGAATCAGCGAAGAATTTGTCACGATCAATTACGCAATGAAAGTTTAAAGAGAAACGCTTCAAAACCCTTCATTTCCTCAACGAAATATGATTATGACGGCAGTTGGATGAAAACTGGCACAACCATTTCAAAAAATGCTTCATTCCAAAGTACATCCCAAAAACTTACTTTATTATCACATAACGCCATCGTGACATACATTTCGTGAATGATAAGTGCATAAAAACATATGAGTATCAGTAATGGAATCCAAAAGATGACCTGCAATTAAGCATCGCATTGTCTTATTTTTCCGATGCAATTCTCTCAAAATCTCCGATCAAATAAAAGTGCAGTTAGAAGATTTACGAAATAACGAAATGCCTCTTCTCACCAGCAAATGGTACATTTCATACAGTCGAACTGCATCATCCCAATGTTCCGGATTTCCTGCCGTTGCATTGACGCCAGATTCTACAAATGAACATAACGACAGTTTCGATATTTGATAGAAACCTCTCACTCTGGTGTTTCTTCTCATTCTATTCTCTCATTTTTCACTTATTCTATCGTCTTTTTCTTATTCACTGCTTCGGTCCTTTACAACGATTCTCGATCGGAATGCACTATCTTCCACTTTGCACGCAAGCATCCGCACAAATGACTGAGTAATTGGAGAAAGAGATTGCTAATTGTAAGATACCAAGGTTAAGCGACGATAATACGGCAGTGAATGGCAGCTAGACCTAGGTTTACGCTAACATTCGTTAAAGAATTATTTGAATCGATCATAAACGAACCATCTGGTTGCTTAATGAATGCCCCGATGTGAGCCTCAATCTAAACATAACCCCAAATAAAGCGTTTGCTTGGTTCTTCGCTGAAACTGTGACCAAAAAACTCTCTCCTCATCAGATTATGACTGAATGTTCAATGTTATTCTTAGGCATGTTCGACCTGTAATTTTGATACTAGTGATCATTAATCGTACACACTAAAAAATCATATTGATACTAGGAAATATCTGCGTTCAACTGTAATTAAACTGAACCGGCAAATAAATCATATCTATTCAGCTAAATACTGAGAAGTATCTGCCTCCAACTCTCATTAAAGTCCCTATAAGCACATATGGGTATTCATTAATCACGTGGGATTGTGTTTGACTACTATTATTAATCCTTCATTTCTAAATTGAATGAATATATGAGTTTGATGTCGATGAGCAATTAGTTGAAAACGCATGTTGATATCATTGAAAAGTGCTATTCGTAATTATAGCGTATAATCATCGTTAAAAGAAGACCTCTCATCTAAAGCTGAAACCATTGATTTACCGTTATGAGCTTCGTCATAAAATTACCGTAATTCTCTCATAGAAACTCCAATCAACTTCCTTGTTAACTGTTCTAGTGTTATTGTTGACTGTCATTAGCTGCAAACACCAAGTGTGATTGATGAGTACTCCATACTTTATAATTTCTGATGCAAAATGATCGACATGAATCTGTCAGTTTTGATTTTTGAATCAACAAGCGCACGAACGTTGTTCTAGTGAATCAAACGGTTATTGCAATCGGATGCTGTCAAGAGCGACTGTTTCAATAAGAATGGTTATCGCACTGCCACTGTCAAATCCTTTTATAGCTTAGAATCATCCATATCCATTGACATCAAATCGACAGATTACTATAGGGCATTTTGATGTGAATACGGGTCCAATTTCATGTGCATTTCATCGGATAGGTTGCTGACAAGCGCTAAAAGAATGCGCATGACTGACTTAGCGTGCAATCGGCCAAAATCAATTGGAGTGGAGAATTTGATGAGTTAAGCATTCGAATAGTGTGACGTTCCCTATCAGTCAACTCCGAAATGGGCAAATTGCATTCCTCGATTAATGGATTGATGCAGTTAATTGATGTCAACGTTGTTCATTCAATTACGCCAACATACAATGAGGTGGTACCTGCATCGTTTAGCATTGTATCGACAGTTTCTTTAACCCAGATATTAAGGCATTGTGTATAATTATCATCCAATGTGTACACATCCCATACAAATAGCTGTGGCACTGAGAATAACACTGCGAACAACCATGCCGAGCACGACAGTGTTCTGACTCGTTGCTCCCAGTTGACTGCTGACTGAAATTTAAGAAGTTCTGACCAGCAATAGAAACCAATGAACTTCTTTTCACACTAATCCTGCATTACTATCTGCAGATTATTCCATACTTCCAATTTGCTTGAAATGAGAGGATTGGTTCACTTGTAGAAGCTGACTGCATAGCTGAGAGAAGGATCGAATGCGTCAAGATATGAACTCAAATTGACGAAAAATATTGTTGTTCAACAACTGTTTTGAAGATATGTTCGTTGTCAAGCTCGAAATTTAACAAATCCTCCAGCAAACATTATTTCATCTATCCCTCCACTGTAATCCACTAACAATAAGTTGAAGTGCAAATATTCATTTTCCAAGTTCACACTCCCGTATGTTCACGGAATTTCTATGTTTACGGAATCCAGTTACGTTCAGTGCTCATAAGCTTCGAATAATTTGACAATGAATCCGTTCGTTTTCAGGCCATCTGGATCTCATGCTTCCAGAAGGACAACAACATTTGATGCATTCTCGAATCAATCGTGTTACGGCAGATTGCGTAGATGAAAGAATTGGTTGCGTTAATATTAAAGCGCTTTTCGCCGCTGATTGAACCACTTTAGAGTTCGTTTGTGTGTGGTTGCGAGAAAGGTTACGGCAACTTCAAAACTCTTATTACATATCTGCTTGCAACTACAGCGAATATGCTCTTTTCAATCCGTATTTCGCACTTTCCGATCGTCAACCTTCTATTTCACATTGTTACTGAAAGCGTTTCCTAATTAATGATAGGCACAAGGTAGAAACCTTGAGTGGATGTCTGAGAGTGCAGAAACGATTGACGGCAATGCAAACAACAATATAACTCGATACGCTGAAACTCAACGATTCTGCGAACCTCATCGTCTTGCACATCTGAAAATTGAGACGAGTTTATTTCGACGAGTTGGTTCATAGTTAAGGCATGATGATTCTCCAATTAAAGGCGTCTAAAAAAGTCTTGCTAGTAGATGAAATATGATCCCTTCGCCGACACGAACGAATAAGTTTAAACAAAATCATGAGGCGTGAAGCATTGACAGCCTACGGAAATGATTCTCACGCCCGGATGCTTCATTACCCATTTTGATGATATGGCATGCCGCCGCTACTGCTCCCCCATCCTGATATAAAAACTTACAATTTCTACGTACAAAGTCGGGAACAAAAAAACCGGTCTGGAAATTCCTCAGTGGCGTGAAAGAAATTGATTTTCTGGAACGAAACAGGTATTCTTAGAATCTTATTTTTCCCACTGCAGAAACAATATGAAACTCGACAACCAAAAAACGAAAAGCAATTTAAAAAAGCATTCTCCAGCGAAATGTAATAGCAAGTTCAATTATTCATGAAGAAGGAGGATGCAGTAAACATTCGAAGAACTCACGAAACATTTGTGACTGAACAGACTTTTGTTTAGGCCCAGATGAGCCAATGATACTCAGAAAATAGGAGAGAGAAGAGTGCTGCC